CTCAAGAGAATGCCGAGCTGGTGAGAGATTGAGATGAGCAAAGGGTGTGGATGAGAGGAATACCGAGTGAGGGAGGAGACGATGTGCATGAGTGGGATGAAGGATGCTCGCGCGAGGAAACTGGCCAGATATGCTGCAGCAGACATTCTGAAAGGGCGAGGGGTGAGAGAGAATGAAAAAGGCAAGAAAACAGCACAATCATGTGCTGGAAGCATAGATCTGGCTATCCGCTGCATGCACAGAATACTAGCAGTGGCACATCACTGACTTGCTTTTACTGGAACACAAGCACGCCATGATCCCAACAGCATGCGGGAAGCGCTGTCTTTGGCGTGCAGTGAGCGCAATCGGCTCACCTTGAGTTGAGGGAGCGTGAGGGCGATGTGAGGATGTCGGTAAGATGAGAGGCGAAGGCAGCCGCCAGGGAGGCGGGGTTGAGGGAGCATGCGAAGAAGAGCAGGAACTGCAGGGGGGGGGGAGCAGGAGCAAAGCAAAGAGCAGATAGAGCGATCACCCTGTGACCTAGTTATCCCAAATCTGGAGCGAAACGGTCATGCATGACTGAGACGGGATGCCAGCTCGTGGTTTTTAAAGTGAGCGGATGCTCCAGTGACATGGCAGCTAGAGGCTTGAAAACGACCAACGGGCATAGGGGGGAAGGAGGGGATTCAAGGTAAGAGACACACGATGATGACTTCAACTATTAATGGAAACTGTTTGAAAAGGGCGCTAGACCTTACCTGGGTGAATTTGGACTTGTACGTGTCGAGTATCGTTGAGTCAAAGGAGCGAATCAAAGCTTCGTAGACCTGCTCATGCCAAATGATATGAGTCAGACAGGAGTGTGGTCACATGGGCAGGCAGCGCAGCGCCATGACACAGGGCAGGATTCAAGGTGACCATGAGCATGGGATGAGTGCGGGTATGTATGATGTTGCTCTGCACGCTGCCATGGAGCACAGCACATATGCAGGGCACTGCTCGGAGATGGATGCGTCATCAGCAGGGGGGTGGCAGCAACGGGGAGTGTAGGGAAGCAGGGGGCGTGGGGGGAACAGCAGGGGGTGTGGTGGCAGCGGCAGGGGGTGTGGTGGCAGCGGCAGGGGGTGTGGCAGGCAGGGTAGCAGCAGGGGGTGTGGCGTGGGGCGAGCAGCACCTGGGGCAGCTGGTGGGCGTGGGAGCGGGCGCAGATGTGCTGGAAGGTGAGGTCCATCAGCGCGTCCATCTTCTCCGCCATCTCGTCCACTGCTGCTCCTGCTGCTGCTGCTGCTGCTGCTGCTGCTGCTGCTGCTGGCCCCCCGCTGCTGTTGGCTCCCCCACCACCACCACTGCATGGCAGCAGCAACCCATGCCGTGCCTCACTACCCGGCACACCAGTCTCAAAAGCTGCAGCGTGGCTGGCAGCAGAGAGGGCGGCGTGAGCAGCGGAGTCGTGCAGGTCCATGTGGAACATGTACACCCGACTCGCCCCCGCCGCTGCCCCCGCCCCCGCTGCTGCCCCCGCTGCTGCCCCCGCCGCCGCCACTGCTGCTGCTGCTGCCGCGTGGCCTGAGTCGGCAGGATTTCTTGTTGCGACGACAGCTGCATCCAATGAAATGTCCTCCCACCGAATCTCCACCTGAAATGTGCCGCAACGTCAACAACCGGGGTGGACATGTGGGATGGTTTTAGGATGCTAGTGTGTGTGCCACAAGAGCAAGATGGTGCATGACAGCAGGCGTGCATGCATGTACATGGGATGGGAAGAGAAGTGGGCGGAGCAGAAAGCCCAAGGCAGAGGAGCAGAGTGGGTGGTAGAGTGGGTGGGCGGGTGAGAGGGGCGCACATCGATCTGGATGAGGTGGTCCACGACGGCCGCCAGGATGCTGTCCCTCACCGTCTCGCCCTCCTCCGCCTCCGCCAGCGCAAACATGCCCGCCACATACACGCACTGGAACTGTGCCACCACCAACCACCGCGGAGCAGGGAGCAGGGAGCAGGGAGCAGGGAGCAGGGAGCAACAGCAGCGTGGGTGGACAGGGGCACGAGGGCAGTCACAGAACGGAAGGGGGGTGAGGATGGCAGGGGCGAAAGGAGGAGAAAAACGAAGTTAGAAGCAGGCGGGCAGCACATCAAAGCTTGACACTCATTTCCAGAGACCACCTAAGACGCAGTGCAGCACGAGCATGTTAGGGTCTCTCACACGAACCTCTTTCTCGACGCGCTTGTGCGGCATGCGCTGCAGCAGGAGGGGCAGCAGGCGGCTGGAGGCGGTGGGCACGAGGCGGCAGATGCGCGAGGCGGCGCCCACCACCCACCGCAGCACCTCGCCCTGCCGCCGCAGCTCCTCGCCCTTGCGCGCCTTGGCTGCCACTATCGCCGCCACTGCCCCCCCTGGCGCGCCTGGGTGGGCGGAGGCGGGCAGCTTGGGCGGGTGCGCGCCCATGAAGGCGGGCACACCGCAGGAGGGCGGCATGAGGTTGCGCACGAGGATGTCCAGCGCCACCGGTAGACACGCACTGTTGGCCGATGCCTGTGCCAGCATGGGGGACAAAAGGGCACGCACACGGACAGGCACAAAACTAGAAGTTTAATCTGCAATCCGCGAGTGCCAGGGGCCGCGCTAGCCATCAAAAACAAGTTTTCTGGCAAGAATGAACAGAGATATGATTGCGAACAGAAATCAAGCTGGAGAAGGAGTTACGAGCACGTTGGATGGCATGCATACCTAGCTGGACGCGCGTGGGCAGTGGGAACGTGTTTCTGCAGACAAGCTAAACTCCTCAAAGTGTTTCATTTCATGCTGGGCACGCTATACTGCGATCGAGGTGCTGCATGCGCTGCTAACGACATGCTTCAAAACCTCAAACCGCGCTGATTACACAGCTGGTTCTTTGTGCTAACATGGTATGGCGGTGTGGGCACTGGGCAGAGCCACGAGGCCACCGTTGGGTGATACTACCAGTGGGCTTGAGAGAGTGAAGGTGCTTGTGGGGTCCTGTGCAAGAGCACCATCCATCCACTAACCCTTTCCGCTGCTTTCCAGCTTCAGCTTCACAGCAGCTTGCAAGAGAACCGAGTGTCATCCGTGGCCACTCAGCGGCTCTCTCTCACTCTCACTGCAACACGCCACCAACCACCACATCGCACGCCAATGTACCAGAGCAGTGATGCACACCGCGATTCAAAGCACCAGCGCATGCACTGCAACACGCATTGCAGCGCCATCCTTCACGAGTCGGGCCAAATCAACCGCCATACCATGGGCGCAGTGCGGTGAATGCAGAGGTGCATAGCACCTCGGACGTGAGCGACTAGCCAGAGATGAACAGGGTCATATGCATGGACGATATATCCATGAGAACAGGGAGCTTGACGACGCCACGGATGCACATACGGGGTGGATGAAGCGAGAGAATGGGCAAACGCGAGCTTGCAAACCGGCTGCGAGGCGAGGTGAAGGGGCAGACGAGAGGCGGTGGCGGCTCACGAGGTTGGTGCAGAAGTCGATGATGGCCGCCGCCACCTCCGCGTTGCACGTCCACAGGCTCACACCCAGCAACTGGTCGCGGAGCAGGGCGAGGGAGGCAGAACGTGATGAGAACGCGCAAAAGAAAATGGAAACCGAATGCTTGCGGCCACAAGGTGGAGTGAGGAAACCTCTGCTCTCACCATGCCACTGCATGGTACGAGCAAGAGGCGATGGCGCGAGACACTAAGAAAAGGGCTTCACCTGCAGCGCACCTGAATGAGCAGCGCCTCGTGCACGTCCGGGTCGAAGTAGGAGACGCACTGCGAAAAGACCCGCAGCTTCGCCTGCCAGCCACACGCACACGAAAGAGCCGCGTGGAACGAATAAAAACAACAAAATATGCACTTTCACGATGCGAAACTTGTTCGCATGCACGAGTACTATGCCTCCAAAGGCGGCTGCGGGGACAAGCATTAGCCAGTAGGCGCATCCAGATAGGAGGAGAACGGTACGACCTCAAAGCGAGCGTGGTGGCGGGACGACATGGAGACGATGGATACGAATGAGGCGAAGAGGCGGAAAACGCGTCGAAAGGGACATGCGAGGGAAAACGCACCGGATCGGCGTGAATTTGATCGATCTCTTGAATGAGCCGCCAGTACGCCGTGCCGTCGCCCTGACACGCATCATGACACAGCAGCGCAATTGGAGTGAGCTACGAAAGAACTTATGTTGTTGATACGAAGACGCGCGCGTATACTCCATGCGCCACGACATGTGCCGCGAGAAGACACATCAGTCTTCCCGATCTGCTCGAGTACATGCATGTGCGGCCATGGGCGCGGTTCGACGAAGACGGCGAGAAATATAGAGAACGTTGCGGCGTTTACGAGCAGGTAGCGGCTTCTGGGGCACGTACTCTAGACTTGGACAGCAGGGCGTTGATTATCCACTGACGAAACATGGACAGCGCGACAGCGCGCTGCTGTGCCGCCTGCACTTCTGTTGTCGCCATGTTTGGGTGGCCAGTGACCACCGCTGGCATTTCCTAGAAGCGCGTTTGCATCCAGACCGGTAGAACCACCTGCGACTCCTCAGAGCGACTAAAACCCTAATTGAGCACGAAAGCTCGTGCTGTTGCCTTGATAGTCACCTACGCGCATGCTGCTGTTTCGAGCCGGGTCCGCTGATCCGACATGGACACTGCACAGTGTACGCTCATGACTCCCCAAGAGTTCATTAACACACCAAAAAAATATGCACTTCTCATTCTGCTAAGCCTTAATTTTTCATGAACGAGCTGTCATTTATCCGGACAGTCAAACTAGATATGGCATTATCTTTCACTTTGACTGGAAAAACATACGTGTAAACTACGCATGAAACTTAATAAAATATCTCCACGTTTTAAGAAAATACTGTCCTTTCTGCCATAGTGTTTACTTCCCAGCTCCTTGTAGCGCGTGTGTATTACGGAATCCGTGACGCGCCAGGCTGCTATCAACAGATTCCGTAACCAGCATGGATCGCTGCAATCTCCGCACATCCCATGGCTCCTGCTGCTCGCCAGCGGAGGCCGTTGGCTGCGATTCTGCAGCGCAGTCGAGGCGCTCTGCTGGTGGCATTGGCGGCTGTTGTAGTGATCGGAGTCGCTCGCTTTCATCTTCCACTCTCTCCCTCTCTCCTCTCCGCGCCATCGCCGCCAGCATCGTCGTTACGCTCGCCCTTTCTTCAACAGGTATTCGCACCGTGCTCCTCTTCGCGCCGCTCGCATGCTGGCAGAACGTAGATCGCACATTTGCGCGCGCTGCTGCTGCGCGCGTGCCAGCGGCACTAGCAACAGCACGAACTCTGTACGCGAGTGCGAGGGAAGCGTGTGACCCCGCTCCACGAGCGCGCCTGCTGCGCTTCGTGCGTCGCTGCGGCGCTGCGCCCGGCAGGTCATGCGTCGGCCACGACAGAGCCCATGAGTCTTGGCGCCGACCTTGCTTGCCACGGTTGTCCTCGCCTCATCTGTGCCTCTCTGCTCCCCCTCTGCTCCCCCTATGCTATCCTGGCCCTGCCCATTCCCCCCGTGCTGCCATGTGGCGTGGCATCGCAGCCCCTGCCAGTACCGCTCATCCACCGCCCGCTAACTGACTACTTCCAGGTAACTTCCTCCCTCCCGCCGCCTTGCCTCCTGACGCCTCCTTGTCGCCCACTCTGCCGCACTGCTGGCACACTTCACTTCATCCCACCTGCTTCGCTCCCCTGCGCACTTTCGCCTTTCACTGAACAACCTGCTTGCACCAGGAACAATCGCCGTTTGCAGCGCCCTTGCAATGCAAGCACCCCAAACCCAAGCCGTCTTCTGACTTCCACCTCTCTCTTAAACGGTCCCTCTTCCTCTCTGCGTTTTGCTCCTCCGCCAGCCTGACAGCCCACTGCCCTCCGCGCTGCCACCACTGCTGAACCCATTGGCGCCGCACGTGCAGCTGCAGCAGCACGCGTTCGTGCACCTGCTGGCGCAGCACTCCGCGGCCTTCCAGCCCGGGCTGCTGCACGACTGGCTGGGCGCCACCGCCTTCTTCGAGTGGCTCTGCCCCCACCTCGCCCACCCTGGCGCGCAGGGGGCAGGAGAGGTGCAGGTGGGGAGTGCGGAGGGGGGTGGGGGCGAGGAGGAGGTGAGTGACGATGCGAGGGTGGTGAGCGGGGCGTGGGAGGAGGGCGGCAGCGAGGGCGGGTGGGAGGAGGAAATCCCCGTGGTGGAGTCACGGCAGCGCGTGTGTGCTGCGCACCTGGCCCGCGAGCAGCAGGCGGACGCCCACCCGGGGGGGGTGAGTGTGGACCCCGTCGGGGCGAGCGCACATGGCGGGGCGGCACACGGGGAGGATGGGAGTGCGGGCAGGGAGGGTGGCAGTGCAGGCAGCGGGGCGGGACGGGCAGCGGCGGGGGAGTACGCAGGGTACCTGCCATCGGCAGACGGGGCGTACGTGGAGCTGCTGGACGCGCTGGAGGCCGTGCTGCGCTCCCACCTGCTGCCCGCTGCAGCAGTGGCCCATGGGGGGAGCGCGGAGAAGCAGGGGGGCGAGGGGCGGTTCACGGTGGTGTCTGCTGGGCCGCTGCTGCACGCCATGACTGCCTTTGCTGCTGCCCACGCCTACAGGTAACTCCATGTGCCCTGCCTCAAGACCACTCAGTATCTGCTCTTGACCCCACCATTCTTGTCCCAACTCCCTCTGAGCAGCTGTTCTTCTGTGTCTCTCTCCCTGACTCCCCCTCCTTTGCTCCTTTGCCTGTCGCGCCCTGCCTCTTTATTCTCTCCCCTCTCCCGGCAGGCAGGTGCGGCCATACGACGCCATGGCGCTGGTGGTGGTGCATCCCGACATGCCCAAGCAGCTGCACGCCCTGGCTCGCCTCAATGCCGTCCCACACTTCACTCACATCCCCCTTGCCCTTGGTAACGCCTCTCCTACTTCTCGTACTCGCCCTTGGTCGTGCCCCCACCTTCCAAATTGCTCTTTCAGTCCCTTTCAACCTTGGCCCTGCAACCCCTCATTAACATATTTGTCTCACTCACTCACCCATGCGCCATTCCCTCCGCGTGTGCCCTGTGTGAGAAGGGGGCGGAGAGGTGAAGGAGAGGGAGCCAGGCAGGTGGGCAACGGTGGGCGATGTGCTGGCGGGGCTGCCACGCTGCGACCTGTTGGACATCGATGCTGACCGAGCGGAGAAGTTTGCCTTCGATGACCCCGACGCCTTCACCCACGGTTGCTCCCTTGCTTCTGCCCTAACCCCTCCTGCGCTATGCCCATGGTTTCATTGCTTCAACAGCTCTTCCACGCTAGGGGGTGCAAGCCATGCCATGCGGCGCAAGTGAGCTGTGTCCTGTGAATACCTCTGGCCTACCTTGTACTTGCATGCTGATGCGCTTCAACAGTTGTGCTGCCTTAGGTGGTACCACATGGCCAATCTTACTCAGCAGTAATAACCCTCGCTCTTCCTCATTCTGCCCACTGGCCCGCTTTTCAATTCCCCATGCTGCCTCCCTTCCCCCTGCAGTGCAGCGGGTGGTGAGGCGGGTGCAGATAACAACGCACGGGGGGGACGTGCACGGCAAGCTGGAGGCGCTCTTCCGCCTCAAGGGCTGGCTCAAGGCCCTCGACCTCCCTCCCCCCGCTGCCGCCGCCTGCCTGCACCCCACGCGCGCCTTCATGCGCGCACCCCCTTCCTCCTCCCACGACCCCAATGAAAGCTCCTCATCCCAGCAGCCGCACAGCAGGCCTGCTTGTGCCCCGGTGCCACGGCCCGAGTGTGTGACGCACACCCCGTGGGGCCCCATGCTGCTCAGGGAGGGGCTGCTCTCCTTCCTCAACCCCTCCTTCGCCCACCAGGAAGACATCGTTCGCCCACCCCTCACCCCCCTGCCGCCTGCACTGCTCTGACTCTCGCCCTAACCACCCACCCCGCATCAAACAACTCAAGGGGCCCCCTCCCCTCTGTTTGGAACCCCCGTCATTAATGCGCGCCTTGTTGCACATAGTGTGCCCTTGGTTCGTGTGCATGAAAGGATGGTGCATGTTCTGGTCGTTCTTATTGGGCCAGTGGTGTCTAACGGTGTTTGTAGATGTGATAAATAAAGAATAGACAATCCGTTAATAAACTCCACTTAGTACAGCTGGTTTGCTGAGCACAAGAGAGCTAGAGGTGGTAGTCGAGCCCCGACCCAAACTGCCAGGCCTCGAGGCGGCGGCGCCAGAGGAAGCGCTGGCGGGGCGGCAGCGAGGCCACGGCCTCGCTGCAGGTAGGAGGGGTGGGTGGGATTCGCAGCAGGGAGATGGGATGAGGGGGGAGGGAAAGCATGGCAGGGGGCATTAGCATGGGCCAGCAGAGGGCGAGCAACATCTGATGAGAGACGTCTGAAGGAAACATCTGAGGGAAAGCAGCACCTGAGGGAGAGAGGCACCTGAGAGAGAGGGCCGAGGCGAGGTGGTGCAGAGCAGAGAATGCAGCGAGAGCGATGAAGTGCTGCAGCCAGTCCAGTAGGGGCACGGGGACCCACCTGGTGAGAGGGGAGAGAAACACGGGTGGATGGCACGTGGGCGGGGGTGAGTGGGCGAGGCAGTGATGAGGGATGGCGTGGATGTGAAGGGCGATGGCGGCGCTAGTGGCGGCACAGAAGGAGAGCACATGGCATGGCGTGGCGTGGTGTGGTGTGGTGTGGTGTGGTGTGTTGAGGCACAACATGGGGCACAGGTGGATATCAATCTCCTACGCCTCGCCTGCAGCACAATGCTTGCAGACCTAGGCCGTAACCTGAAACCCTGAGGCTGAAAACGCGAGTTGAAAGGCACCTGCAGGAAGATGGTGGGCAGCAGCGAGGGGCGCGTGACGACCATGGAGCCCATCGTGAGCGCCAGGGGGGCGAACTGCGTCACGTCCTGGTGCATGCACGCAGGGGGGGTGTTGGAGAATGGCGAAAGGAAAAAGGGGAAGAGAAGAGGAACAATAGGGGAGGCAAGTGAGAGGTAGGAACAGGAAGAAATAGGGAGCATGGTGGTATATTATCATGCTGTGCTTTGATGCGTGGAAGTTGTGGTGAGGCAAGGTGATGGGTGCAAGGGTGCTGCACGGCATGGCAGTGAGGTGCAGGTGTGGCAGTGAGGTGCAGGTGTGGCACACGGACCTGCAGGAACGGCCGTACGACTGGGGTCGCCTAGCTTCTGATGGAGGGAGCGGTGCGGGAGAGACGGAGGAAAGGAGAGAGGGCAAGCAGGAGGGGAGGGTGGAGGGGACAAGAATGGAAGAGCATGGGATGCATGGTCTGGATGGGATGCATGGTCTGGATGGGATGCATGGTCTGGATGGGATGCATGGTCTGGATGAGATGCATGGTCTGGATGGGATGCATGGTCTGGATGGGATGCATGGTCTGGATGGGATGCATGGTCTGGATGAGACGCATGGTCTGGATGGGATGCATGGTCTGGATGAGATGCATGGTCTGGATGGGATGCATGGTCTGGATGGGATGCATGGTCTGGATGGGATGCATGGTCTGGATGGGATGCATGGTCTGGATGGGATGCATGGTCTGGATGGGATGCATGGTCCAGACGGGACGAGCAGGGAGAGCAGAGCTTGGGGAGAGTGATGAGATAAATGTGCAGGCAGGCAGCATGAGCAGCGGCAGCAGAGGCAGCAGCACAGCACATGACATGACACGAGCATGACCTGCATGCAGGCAAAGTTGGTGGCGAGCAGGGTGTTGATGAAGTCAGGCGGAGGGGTTGACCCCACGCGCGCTGACATGGCGCGCTGCAGCAGCCACGCGCCACTCAGGTTCGGCTGCCAGGGGCGGGGAAAGGGGAAAACATAATACCTTTGAGGCGCGTCACAAGCCGTGCTGTTCAGGATTTAGGGCGCAAGGGGCGGGAATGGGAAGGGGGAGAGGAGGCGAGGGGCATGGGAGCGATGCGTGTCAGGTTCAACATAATGGGGCTTGCATTGTCAGTTTTGTGTTGTGAGGTGCATGCACCTGGTACGGGTGGATGCACCTGGTACGGGTGGATGCACCTGGTACGGGTGGATGCACCTGGTACGGGTGGATGCACCTGGTACGGGTGGACGCACCTGGTACGGGTTGACGCACCTGGTACTGGTGGATGCGCCTGGTACGGGTGGATGCACCTGGTACGGGTGGATGCACCTGGTACGGGTGGATGCGCCTGGTACGGGTGGATGCACCTGGTACGGGTTGACGCACCTGGTACGGGTTGATGCACCTGGTACGGGTTGATGCACCTGGTATGGGTTGATGCACCTGGTACGGGTGGATGCACCTGGTACGGGTTGATGCTAGCAAGCGCATCTCGGGTGAGCAGGTCCGCACTCAAGGCGTCCACCAGACCTGCAGGCAGGCCGGTGAGGAGGGATTCGACACCGGCAGGAGAGAGAGGAAGGAGAAGCACGGCAGGGGAAATCAACTGCAATGCGTATTGGGACTTGCAATAAGAAGTGGTGATGCAACATGATGGCATGTGATGGCATGAGACGGCAGAGCAGGGGAACAGGGGAGTGAGCAGCAGCATGGGGCTGACCGTCAGTGATGCGGCCGAGGTGGCGAGTGATGGCGCCGAAGCCACCGAAGGAGAGTGGCGACTGGATGCCACTGGCGTCGCCCACCTGCATGCATGCCCGCCCGCATGGCATGGCCCCGCACACAGCACGCAGCGAATCCCGCAGGGAGGGCAGTGCAAGAATGCCGTACAACAATCTTCTGCGAATCACTTCAGAAACAAACCAACTACTGCTGAGATTGGCTTCTATGGATTCTCTGAGAGGTGAGGCCATGTGGGGTGAGGTGAGGACTTTGAGAATTCTCAAAAAACGTTTCAGACGGTGAGGTGAGTCGAGGTCAGGTGGAAGTGAGGTGAGGTGAGGTGAGGTGAGGTGAGGTGAGGTGATGAGCGGTGAGGGCACCTGGATGACGCGGTCAAAGGCGGGGCGGAGAGGGCTGTCACGGAAGGTGGGGAAGAAGCCGAAGAGCACTCGCTGCACCTCCACTGAGTCAATGGAGTCAATGCCCTGCCACACACACAGTCAATGGAGTGAACGCCCTGCCACACATGCAGTCAATGGAGTCAACGCCTTGCCACACACGCAGTCAATGGAGTCAATGCCCTGCCACACACACAGTCAATGGAGTCAACGCCATTCCACACATGCCGTTCGTCGCCCTGCCACACATGGTTTACCAGCACAGCACAGCAGCTGACCTGGTAGGGCGGCATGAGCTGCCAGTACAGCTCCAGCATGGCCTCCAGGGACGGGCGCTCAGGCTGCGCGTCCATGTAGGAGAACATGTACGTTGTGCGGTCACTGGGACCCGACCCCGATGGGAACGCCTGAGGGCAGCGGGAAGAGGAGGTGAGGTGGGGGGAGGGCATGCAAGGAGCGGCATACATGGCCTTGGAAATAAGAAAACGTCGCTCATCAAGGTACTCAGACATTCAGTTGCCTCCTTCAGAAATTCATGGCGTCGTGAGATGTCCAGGCATGGCACACAGACAGGCCTGCTCAGAAACCACGGGGAAGTGGAAGAAGAGAATCAACGGACAGTCCTACTGTCAAGCCATGCCACACCACGGGTCAATGCTGAGGTGCACCCCCAAGCGCACGTAGACACTGGTCAATCGTGCCGTCAAGTTTGTAGAGGACGTCATGTACAAAACCCGGCAGTGGTAGCAACAGTTGGCCCATGCGCACCTCCCAGAAGAGCTGCAGCGGCGATTTGCCGAGGGAGATGGTGGGCGAGGTGGTGAAGATGATGTCCCCTGTGGTGTTGGCCTCGGGGGGGAAGCCACGTGCACACGTGCCCACCACTAGGCACACTCCATCCGGCTTTTGCCCCCACCGTGCCTGCCTCGCACACACAGGGCACAACACATAAGGCACAAGGCGCAGGACACAGGACACAGGGCAAAGGTGCAGAGCAGAGGGCACAGGTGCAGAGCAGAGGGCACAGGTGCAGGGCAGAGGGCACAGGTGCAGGGCAGAGGGCACAGGTGCAGGGCAGAGGGCACAGGTGCAGGGCAGAGGGCACAGGTGCAGGGCAGAGGGCACAGGTGCAGGGCAGAGGGCACAGGTGCAGGGCAGAGGGCACAGGTGCAGGGCAGAGGGCAGGGCAGAGGGCACAGGTGCAGGGCAGAGGGCACAGGTGCAGGGCAGAGGGCACAGGTGCAGGGCAGAGGGCACAGGTGCAGGGCAGAGGCGCAGGGCATAGACACTCCACTGAGATAGTGAGCTATGAGTGGAACAACATGAGACGATCTGAGCATGTGAGCACTCACATACTAATGCACTGTGACCAGCCTCATGAGGGCTACTGGCCTCTGTAGGATGCCTTGCAGAATTTACCTGTGCGCACATCGTTGGGCATCAAGGGCATATTCAGGGCGTAACCCGCATGACAGCTATACCCAGCAAGGGCGTCACGGGCACCCACCTGGCGCACGATGGGCGAGGCGTGCCCCATGGCGTCCACCACCAGCCGCGCTTTCAGGGGCGGCACGGCTGGGTCTGCAAAGTGGAGCACCTGATGGAGGCAGTCAGTGTGGCGGGTTTGGGAGGCGGCCAATGAAAGAACGTCCGTGAGCCGAGATGGAAGCACGATGCGAGGGGTGAGAACGCACAGGGTGCTGTGCTTGTGGTGTGGAGATAAGGACACACCCGTTACAGTCCTCGCACACAAATCAAGAGCACTTTGGGCAGAGCATGCATCCACAGGCTGTGCAATTGCAGGCAGGGGGAGGTGAGGCACGCACAGCAGCGTCATCATGGACATGCACGGAGGCGAGCGCCACTCCCTCCAGCAGCACGCCCCCCAGGGCGAGGAATCGCTGCTTCGCCGCCTCTATCAGCCTCGCTGGGCTGCTCCGCCACCCGTAAAGCAGGGAGAGAGAGACAGGCGCGAAAGGAGGGTTGGAAAAGGGTGGGGAGCAGGAGATGACGGGAGGGGGTAATAGTTGAAGAGTGAGGCAGGAGGCAGGAGGCGGCAGAGAAGGTGTGGACTGAAGGGGTCCTGATGCATGCAGGTGCTTCTGGTGGAGGTTCGTTGCGTTGGCTGTCAGCAGGACTGTGGATTCAAAGTAAAGAGGCAGTGCAAGAGGCTTTGGGGCAGCACAGCTGCTGAGGCTCGAGTTTGAAAAGGCTGTGATAAGCGTTGGCATGAAGCCTGCTGACTGCTAACATGACATGAAAGCGTGGCATGGCATGGCACGGCATGGCACATGGAATGGCAGGGCATAGCAAGGGCAGCAGGGAGGGCACTGACGAGATACCGAGGTTGAGGATGTCCCTCACCCACATGTCCTCGCCGCCTGCAAAGCCACACCGACACTGGGGGACAAGGGCGGTGAGGGACAAGACAAGGGCGGTGAGGGACAAGACAAGGGCGGTGAGGGACAAGACAAGGGCGGTGAGGGACAAGACAAGGGCGGTGAGGGACAAGACAAGGGCGGTGAGGGACAAGACAAGGGCGGTGCAGAGCAGAAGGCAGCGAGGCAGGCACACATGGGGTGAGAGAATCCGCTTATCAACCGTAGCCTGAATAATCTTCACCAACTACTGTAAAGAGAACAGTGCCCTCACGGGGTTGAAGGTGACAGCGATGGCGTCCTCCACCTCGCCCGCTGTGAGCACGCCCATCGCCACCAGCTCCTGCACCTCCCTCCGTGACACGTTCCACTCCTGTGCGCGCTGCAGTGCTCACACACGGGGGCGCACAGGGGTAGACAGAGGGGCAGGGGTGCAAGGCAGGGCACGGCCCAGGAGTGCAGAAGAGTAGGACGATGGGAGTGTGGTGATGCATTGAGCGTGGCCCCAATCCAATGCCAATGCCATCGGGCAAACACTTTGTCACCTCATTCCCACCCCTTGGATTCCTCCCCATACCCTTCACAAACTTTTATCCATCCATCCACCCAGCCTTCTAACTCTCCCACTTTACACCTCCAACCACCCCTGTCCTCCCCCTGGCCCCACATACCCCCCGCAGAGTGCCGCGCTCCACGATGGCAACGCGCTGCCCTCGCAGCGCCAGGCTGACGGCCACGAACACGCCCAGCGTGCCCCCGCACACCACCACCTCCACCTCCCACGCCGCCCCCGCCGCCCCTCCTCCCTCACTGCCGCTGCTGCTGCTCTTCCCAGGCTTGCGCACGACGACTTGAGGGGCGGCAGCAGTGGGAGGGCCTGGCATGGAGCGATGGACGCGTGGCATTGGGGGGGTGGTGGTGTGAGCACACGAGGAGGCATGCATGGCGCATGGGGGAAATAAATTCATTGTTGATGCGGTGCAGCGAGGGAGCAAGCACGGTGGGCACCCACCAGGCGGGGCGGAGCGCAGGGCAAGCCACGCCGCATCCGCCCTCTGCAGGTCCGCGTATGTCACCTGCCCCCCCGCCCCCCCGGCCTGCTCCCCCACTGGCAGCGCCGCCATTATGCGCTGAAAGAGGGGGCGGACGGTGGGGCGGAGGGAGAGAGAGGGAATCCAGGGGAGGGGAGGAGGGAGGACAGAGGTGGAGAGGGTGGGAGAGAGGCTGAATACGGGGAACAGGGGAGAGAAAGCGGGTGGCAGGAATGGAGAGAGTGTAGAATGCTGCATACAACATACACTATGCATGCCACACACCATGCATGCCACACACCATGCATGCCACACACCATGCTTGCCACACACCATGCATGCCACACACCATGCACGCCATACACCATGCACGCCATACACCATGCACGCCATACACCATGCACGCCACACACCATGCACGCCATACACCATGCACGCCATACACCATGCATGCCACACACCATGCACGCCATACACCATGCACGCCATACACCATGCATGCCACACACCATGCACGCCATACACCATGCATGCCACACACCATGCACGCCATACACCATGCATGCCACACACCATGCATCCCATACGCCCCAGCCCAACAGTCCTCAACAGACCTGGGTGGTGCTCATTCGCTCCCCCTCTTCCGCCAGACCATCTTTGCGCTTCTCTTCCCCTCCACCACTGCTCGCCCGCGCCACTCCCTCCCTCTTACCCCCCACGCTCCTCCTCCCCCAAGTCCGCGCCCCGCCCCCTCCCCCCTCCCCCTTGTCATGCCCCCGAAGCTCCTGCAGCGGCGACCCGTGCGGGGACTGGCGGAACCATGCGTATGGAGGAAGAGTTGCGTTCCGCCCGCTGGCGGAGGGAGGAACGCGCAGAGGAATGGGGACAGGGGGGCGGGAGGGTAAGGAAGAGCGGAGGAGATTCAACGCGAGCGGGCTTTGGGATTCCACGTGGCATCTAAGGTGATGAATCCGTCAGCGGGCATGCGGCATGGCTGGATAACGCACGAGGGGTGGCTTGTCGCGAGATAGCGCCGTCGGCTGTTACCAGTCAAGCTGTTGACGCCATCGTGGCGAAGATTGGCGAAGTGGCAAGCGAGAGATGCGATACAGTGGTGTCGCGGATGGAGCGAGAGAGACGCAGAGAGACATGGATGTGCGGACGGCGGAACCGAATCCAGGGTGGGGGGGAACGGCGCGGAACCACCCAGTAGCGCCTACCGCGCGGTACGTGGGTCACAGCTAACAGGGTCGTCTCAGCACCCCTCGTCTCACTGCTGTTAAGTCTAGCGTGACGGCGGTTACAGCAGCAGGAGAGCGAACCACTCTAGCAGCAGCAAAGAGATGGCGGCAGGTGGCGCCGATGCCGGAGAATCCAGCGGCGTGCGGTGATCCTAACTGCGTGCGCGTGCTGCGTACGCAGCGTGGCTGTATCTGCTGCCTCGTACGTCGTCTCTCGCGCCTCCTGCTGTCGGCTGCTAACTGCCGCCACGAGGCGAAAGCCAAGACCGTTTCAGAAGGTCGGCGCGAGGGCAAGTCGATGCAAGCACAGAGCCTGATCGTCGCGAGCAGGGGAGGAGCGCAGGCGTGAGAGACGCGATCTGAGCAAAGTCCCAAGTGCTACTGAAGCGAGCGCAACCGCATGTTGCCACAGCTAGGAGAAACCGTCTACATGCTTTTTTGGTTGCCACCAGCCAGAGTTGAGGTACCCGATATACAAGGCAGCGTATCTCGATATGGACTATTTGTTGCTTTTGTTTTCGATATTTTCGATATTTCTCATCTAGCGGTTGCGAAAATTGATAGCTCGAGGAGGGATATTTGGGGCACCCGTGGCGGTTTCCCCAGCACCCTAGCCTAGATAGTTTCCCCAGCCCACTGCCCAGATGTTTTTGCGAGCCTCAAGAAGGTGAGGTTCTTCGTGCACCCTTACATTCAATGCCACGTGGACGTAAAGAGGTTTCTAATCGCTTCCAGCCACACACATCATATGTGGCTCTAAAGCCCCCCCCGTCTCCCAAAACGAGTCGCGGTGCATTCCCGGAAAATATCGCTTCGAGAATGCCTTTTTTCTGCACTTTTTCTCATCCACTCGCTACGCTTTCGCAGCTTGACTCGCTCCGCTATTGGCTTCTCTCACCCGTATTTCTCCGCCGACACCTCGTCGGCACGACACGGCAAGGCATTGGCTGCTATGCTGTATTCTCCATTCCTGCTCCTCGCATCCACAAAGTAGCCGTTGCACTCACTTGTCGTACGCTCTTACAGCATCAAATCCTTTCTTGACGAGGCGCCTCTCTTCGCAACCTCCGTACCATCTCTGCAAGCAGGACCTGGCGGTCGTTCAACGCGCGAATAACGGAAGATGTCGCCAAACTATCCTGTGGTGCATTTTGTGGCTGGGATTCGCCACGTGCCCACCCACCGCGTCGGTCTTCCCCTTGCCGTAGTCAGTTTGTTCTCGGCACTCCTCGTGTCGCATCTGCCTCGACGCACCCTGCTAGCGTCCTTCGTCATCCTCCTCCTCCTCGTCGCGTTTCTCCCACTCTTCCGGAGGCTTGTAAGGCTCCGCTTGGGTCCAATATCGGCATGCTCGCGTGCTCTAAAGCGCATTCCGCTGATCTTAAGAACGCATTACTTCAGCTGAATTCTGTCAGCTTCCTCCCATCACACCATCTCTCCTCGTCGTCCTCCTCGCGATCCTTAGATTCGCCTCACGGCTCGCAAAGCATCCAATCTCCGTGCTCGCCGCTCTCTGCTCAGCTCCCTCGTCTTACGGCGTGCGTAGTGGCAGCACGCGTACCGGCCACGCCGCTTGCACCCCCGCGAGCATGTTGTGAGGAACGGTGCCCCTCCGCGCGACATTCTTAAAAAAAAAAATATAGTCTCGCAAGGAGCCGCGCACGCGTGGCGCCGGACGCCATGGAGCACGATATGGATGACGCGCAACCCGCGCCGCCTTCCACGGCGGTGTGCACGCATCGTCTGGTCGTGAGCAGCCCCAGCAAGGACGGCCACGCCAGCCCCGGGTCGCCCGAGGTGCGTCGCTCGCCGCCTCGTCGCACTCACGCGCTCGCCAGACCTGGCGATGCTTCGCTCGTTCCTGTCGCACTCACGCCGTTAACTACCAAAATCTGTGCACGGTCGTCGTGTTGCTTGTTGTCGTTTTGCCTGACGTGGCGTGACTGCGATTCGCGCGGTTGGTGCAGGTGATGTCGGTGCTGGGCGGCAAGGCGTCTTGCCGGCGGAAGTTCGTCCTGCACGTGCAGCTCACGGACGACCAGGTAAGTGCTGCTGCGGTCTCCCGCCCACACGCGCGGACGGGTGGCAGGCGGAAGGGGAAGAGTCGCGTGAGGCAGCGCGCGTGCGGGCAGCATCTGATCTGCGCCATTCCTGTCCCACTCTCTTGCTGTTTCCCCCCACCCTCCTCCTCTCGGCTCACCTCTGCCTCGCCTCCTTCTCCGTGCCCCGTGCCCCGTGCCCCGTGCCCCGTGCCCCGTGCCCCGTGCCCCCATGGTGGTGCGTGCAGGGTAACCCAGTGAGCAAGGACCTGGCTGTCACGGCCTCGCTCACCTACTCGCACGACTGCAGGTACCCACGCTCCCCCGCCCTTCCCCCCTCCGCCCTCTCCTCCCCCACTCCCTCTCCCCCGTCCCTCTCCCCCGTCCGCCCCCTCCCGTCTCACACTCTCCCTCTCATCAGCCCGCTCTTTGACCCTCCCGACTAGAGGGATACAATCATTCGTGCACCTGCTCTTCCTTCTTCCTCCACGCCTCTCTCCTTCCGCCACCTGCTCTTATCTCTCCTCCTCCAACTCCCCCATCCCTCACCATCCCGTTCCCTACTGCCTTCTCCCCCACAACCCCCCCCACTTCCCCCCTTTGCGCATGAGCAGTGCGGTGAAGCTGGAGGAGGGGCAGGCGATGGTGGAGCCACCGCTCTTCACCACTTTCAACGGCGTTGAGTTCCCCGCACACCTCCGCCCCTCGCAGATGCTCGCAGGTAAATTCCACCCTGCATGTGCTGAGAGTACTTATCCTGTTGTTACGCTGGTCCCCCTGCCCCCACCCCCTGAATCTACCCTAACGGCTGTCGTCTCTGTTCTCCACGCCTCCGCTCCCCCTTTTGTCCCTGCACAGGGCGAGCGACGTTCAAGCTGGCGCTGTCGGTGCTGTCGTCCAAATGTGACAACCGCCTCTTCGCCGTGTGCTTCACCGCCGCCACGCCCCTCAACGCGCCCACCCCCCTCAACCCCGATGGCTCTCCCCTGCTCGTCGCCCCCGGCTACTCCCGCGCCATTCGCAGGTAGCCGCTTGCTGCGATCTGCTGCTGCCTGTGTTTCCTGCTGTTGCTGCCACCCCATGCCACTGACGCCACGCAATCACACGCACATGTTTTCAGTGCACTCCCGCCCATGCCAGCACGCACGCATGCGCCTCATCTCCATGCCTCTCCATCCTCTCCACCACTCCCCTGCCCTCCGTCCCACCAGCATCTCCCGCAAGAGGTCGCGAAACGCTGGCCCCGGCGCCGCTACTGCCGGCAGAGGCGGGGGCAACGGCAATGCGAGCAGCAGCAGTGCGAGCCACGGCAGTGCAGGGCAGGGCGGGCAGGGCGGGCAGGGTAACCACGGCGGCCACGGGCTGCATCTGGCGTCCAACGGACTGCAGCTGCCCTCCAAGCTCGCCTTCCTCGCCCCCGTGCACGTGCCCGCCGGGTAACACTCCTCCCTTCCTCGCAGCCCGACCGCCCATCCCTTTTCCCTCTCCACCACTTTCTCAACCACTCTTCTGAGCACCTCTGCGTTCCCCCTCTTATACTTCCCCTCTCATTCTCTTTCTCTCCCTTTCTCTCCCTTTCTCTCCCCATCCCTTCCCTTCCCTCCACTGTTCTCGCCTCTCCCCCTTCCTCCACAGGCCGCTGCTCTTCCCGCCGGCCTCCGCCCTCTCGCCTGCACCGCGCCGCTGGAGGGGCAAGGCCAGCCACGAGTTCATCACATCGCCGCCCGCTGACGTGGCACACGACCTGCCCTCGTGGCGCATGTGCCCCTCTCCCTCCGCGCCCCTGCTCTGCCCCTCCCCCTCCTCCCTCCTCCCCTCTCCCCAAGGCCCCCACAAGCCCCGCTCGCTCCCCCCCACGCCCTCTCTCCCAATCCCTTCCCCCACGGGGGGAGTGGCGCACTCCCCCTCCCCCCGGGCGGCAGCAGCAGCAGCAGCTATGCCGTCTCCGTCACCACGAGCGTTTTCCACGTCAGCACCATCGCCAACTGGCACTGTGGGATCAACGAGTGCCATGTCAGCACACGGCTCGCCTGCCATTGGCGCACGACCCTCCCCCTCCCTGCCACCCCGCTCCTCTCCCTCCATCGCACCCCGGCCCCCCTCAGCTGCGCCCTCCCCTGCCCCATCCTCCGCCCCAGTTGCGCCCGGCCCAGCTGCACCGGCCCCTGCTCCATCGCCCTCCCTGGACTCGTCCATGGCAGGCAGCAGTGGCTGCCACGTCAGCAGCGAGCAGATGATGAGTCAGGGAGCCACGTGGAGCACTGGCGCTACTGATGCTCGCCCTGCTCCTGCGCTCGCCCCTCCTGCGCTCGCCCCTCCTGCGCCGCTTGCTCCCTCTCCTCTTTATGCTCCTGCTCCCCCTCCTCCGCCTGCCCCTCCTCTCCCTGCCTCTGCCTCTGAGCCACCAGCGCACCCGCCTGGATCCTTCTCGCACTACCTCACCACGCCACTCGTCTTCCCCTCCTCCTCCTCCCCCTCCCCCTCCCTGCTCCTCTCCACGCCCCACCACGCTCTGCCGCCCAAGACTCTCAGCTACAGCCAGAGCTACAGCGCCTGCTACAGCCGCCCTCCGGCTGACGCCTATGCAGCCCCAAGCGTGCCGGCGCCTGGATGTGGGGTGGGTGGGAGAGGGGAGGAGGCGGCAGCAACATACGGGGAAGCGAGCGCAATGGTACGTGGCGGTTGGTGGGAGGGAATGTTGACCTGTGCGTGCTTCTGCTGCCGCATCTCCACTCGTCCTACTCATACTTTTTTTCTAAAAATTGCATCTACCTTTTTCTTCCTCCTTTCCCTTTCCCTGTCTCCCCCTCTCTGCCCTCTCCCTCCTGGCCTGCTCGTCTCGCCATTGCAGATACCCACCAGCCAGTTCACCGGCCAATGTACAGACCAATTGGCGCTGCTGTATCACCACGTGCCCTTGCAGCAGATCCCAGAGCAAGCCGCCGAGTTCCTCGTCCAATCAGAGCAGTGCACGTGGCAGCAGCCGCTGCAGCACTCTGTGAAGATGGAGACGGATGGGGGGGAGGAGGGAATGCAAGAGGGGCAGAACCATGGGCATGGGCATGAGCATGAGGGGCATGGCTATGGGTATGCGGATGGGGAAGGCAAGGAGGGCGTGAAGGGGTGTGGTGATGGGCATGCAACGGACCTGCAAGTCGTGTCGCTCCCTCTCGCCCACATCAACACCTCCCTGCACCCGCACCACCACCCGCACCAGCAGCCGTTCCACCCCACCCACCACCCCACCCACCACCCCACCCACCACCACAGCCAGCACCAGCAGCAGCAGCAGCAGCAGCAGCTGTCGGCCTTTTTGTCGGAGGAGGCGTTTCAAGGCAGCTTGTCTCCCTTCAACTCCCCCTTAGGTGTGCCTCTTTTCCACTCCCCCACCACGCCTTCTTCCTCTCTCTCTCTCCAATACTACCATCCCTCCAGCTTTCCTCTCTTCTACACCAACTCGTTTGCTTCTTCCTTCATCAGAAGCAATTCTTTTCATGTCCCTTACCACCTCTTTCCCCGCCACCCTTCCCCCATCGCCCCCCTGCAGCGGACCCGCTATTCGGCCCGCTCATGAGCCCCTTCTCGCTCTCGCCCGGCCCAGGGCCTGCCAGCCATGCCGCTGCTGGACCCCTTCAAGCTCTTCGCCCCCGCTGCCGCCGCCACCATCACCCCCGCCGCCGTCACCCTCGCCGCTGCTGCCGCCGCCGCTGCCGCCGCCGCTACTGCTGCCGCTGCTGCCGTCGCAGGCGCAGGGGTCGGGGGGTCAGGGCCACTGGGTGCATCCGCAGGTGGGTTTGCAGCAGAAGAAATGTGTGTGGCGGCTCCTCTCTCCTTCCCCCTGCCCCCGCCCTTCCCCCTCCCTCCGCCCTTCCCCCCTCCGCCTGCCCTGCCCTCTGCGGCATCCTTTGCTCTGCCTGACTCCCCCGGTACCCAGGCCGCCCTGGAGCAGTGCGCCTGCTCTCCCCTGCTGGGAGGCGCGGGGGTTGGGGCACAGGGGGGCGGAGGAGGGGGGGAAGGGGAGGGAGGTGGAGAGGAGGAGGGGTGGACAGAAGGTGCAAGGGAGGAGGACACTGGGGAGAAGATCAGCGGCAGTGGGGCGATGGGAGAAGGAGCGAAGGCGAGCAACACGCATGGTGCTACTGGCACAACACCTTTCATCGACTCGTCGCCGGATAAGACCTTCCCTGCGTACGCCTCACCTCCAGATAAAGCATCCCCCTACTCCCTGCCCCCGCATGCCTCCTCCTTCCTCCCCGCCCAGGACTCCCCCTGCCAGGCCTCTAACTCCTCCACCCCCTCTGGAGCCCATGCCCGCCATGAGGGCAGGGCGGAGAGGGCGGAGAGGGGCGAGGGCAGGGGGAGGCGGGCGCTGTTCTCGGGGGGACAGAGGCAGCCGTCCCGGCTGGGGGAGAGGGGCAGGCGCAGCTCAGAGCGGGGCGAGGGCAGCAAGGGGACGAGTGAGAGCGAGAGTGGGGAGGAAAAGGGAGCAGGTGCAGCAGCAGCAGGGCCAGGGGGGGCATCGGCACACGGAGGTCTCAGCAGCAGCGCGCTGACAGCCTCCCACAGCATGTCCCCTGGCGGAGGCAGCAGGGCGCGGGGCATGTGTGTGGGTGTGAAAGGGCGAGCATCACACCTCAAGGGGCTCACCATTAAAGCACCCCCCCGCCCCTCCCTGCGCGCCAACCAGTCGCTCTCCGCCTTCTCCCCCTACCGCTCCCCCCGCTCCTGCACCATCTCCCCCTCCTCGCGCGGCCCCAACCTCTCCCCCCTGCCGCGCACCGCCTCCCCCCGCACCATGTCCCCCCGCCTGCTCTCCCCTGGAATGCTCTCCCCCCTCGGCCGCGTCCTCGCTCACTTCGGCAGCCCCCGGGGGGCCATGGGGGCCGCCTTGTGGGGGGAGGGCGCAGGGGCAGGGGGGAGGGCGGGGGGAAAGGAGGGCATGGGGATGGACGTGAAGGGGGAGTGGGGCAAGGAGAGCAGCAGTCTGTGAGGGTAGAGGGGGGGTGGGAGGGGGGGTTAGAGGAAGTTTGATGGGGCAACGGCCTAAACCCTGGAGACGAAACAGAGTGCAGCAGTGCACTCAGCTGCTGGGAAGAGCAGTGTGGTCAAGAGGGCCACAGGCCGCATGTATACAGGCTGAGAGGTTGGGTACAGTTCTGTTTTCAACAAGACTACATATTGTGCTTTTCAATAACGATGTGGTGTGTCCCTGCACTTCAGTACAGGCTTGCTCCGCCAAAACGGTGCTGTGCAGTGCAAATGGTTGCCTGCATGGTTCAGTCTGGTGGAAGTCTGTACTATGGTGCAGTGCTGAGGATACACCCCTCTGTGCACTCTGTGCATTCATGTAATGTCCATTTGATTCCACTCCATGCAACAATGGCTGTATGTACCATATACAGTATTCAAGCAATTGTTTTCCAGCCATGGTACGGTACAATGCAGTACATGCCCCTCTTTTGCATATGATACAATAACTGGTACTATCTGCGATACCATACTGCATTACTTGAGCTTCCTTTGTCGATATGGGGTGGCTGACTATTGCAAGTACAGCACGTGGAAGTCCAGCAAGAACAAGCAGACACAGGGATGATGCGCAAGAGAACCACTTGACGTCCCTTCTTGTCCTTGCTCAGATGCCTTCACATACCCGCCACCCCCACACCCTACTCTCTTGGAACCCCTTCGCAGCGGGTGCCGGTGTGCCCCTCGGGGGCGACCACGCCTAGAAACGACGGTCGTGAGGAGGTCACGAGAAAGAGTGGGAGGAGGAGAAGGGACGTGCAGCGGAAGAGAGAAGGGGAAGGGGCGGCTGCCTTCACATACCCGCCACCCCCACACCCTACTCCCTTGGGCCCCCCCGCCCCTCACCCTCAATCTGAGAGGGAGAGCTTCTTTCTGGTGGTCGTGTAGTTGCCACAGAAGTGGCGATAATTTCCCAGGTCGTGTGGGAGCTGCTTGAAACCAATCTCGAGCAGAATCTTGTGCATGTGCTGCTGCCAGAGACGCGGCGCCTGCTTGATCCCAAGAGGGGTTTCTTCAGCTGACAGACTCGCGGGACTCCTTCCCCGTATGTGTGAGGTTGCTCCACGAAGATGACTGCGTCGACCAGCACGTATAAGAACGTGTTCTTCATGTTGGAAACAAGTAACTTAAACGCTTCTGTTGTGTCGAAACACTAAGTCATAAGCGAAGCAGAACATATCGAAGCATCGGCGAGTCAACCCTCGGAGGTTAAGCAACTGCTAGAGATTACGCAAAAGTCAAAGGTCAGCGACCATTGACCTGACAAGTACAGTGCGACAGCAAGGACAAACAACTGACTCGTTATTGAGCAGTTGCCCGAGTCGTCACTAAATCGAACCGCAACAGCAACAGCAAAACAGTTATTAGTTATAACTATTCATATTCCCTTGTAGTCTTATAAAAGATTGTATCCCTTTGTTTTAATCAATCTACTTTGCCCTCACATACCAGCGCAAGGTGGTTCACAAACCTTTCATTAAACGCTTCCGCTATTACATTATTCTACTCAGAATTTAGTCCTGCAAAGATCCTAAGGGCTTTTCTCAGCCCAACATAGTATGAGAGCAGTCAGGACAAATTCCACTATTAAGACACCTACAACATCAGAAAGCATGGCTACTCAGAAGGAAAGGAGTTCCTCTAATGGTTCTCCCGGCACTACCCCTACTCCACCTCCTGCCTCTGGCCTACAGACAGAGCAAGGCACGACGACAAGACCAGCAGCAGGGTCCACTGAAACTCCTGCGAATAAACCTGCAGACTTCGACCAGAACATGATGGAGAAGTTATTCTCCTTCATGTCCTTCTACGAGCAACACCAACAGTTGGCACCTGCGCAGTCAAACAACAACAACAACAACAACAATAACGACGCTGATGCCCATGAGCCTCGACGGCTCATCCTACGCACGTGGAAATCAACAGCAGCAGCCTACCTTTGCTCCGTACGAGCCCCAGCGAGGCTTCGTCAGCTTTATGCCACACTCGCAGCCTGTACCTGGACAAGAGAGAACACTGGACGCACTTCAAGTTTCAGTCGCAGTGCGCGCACGTCTTAAAACTGCAAACGTCAATGCCTTTCGACGGGAAGGACTTCTTTACCTGGTCATTCGAGTTCGAGCTGATGATGGAAGGCACGCAGATCCTTGGCTTCTTCGACGGGTCCCTGCCATATCCAACAGATGGCACACAATACGACAAGCAACAGTACATGTATCACTCAATGATGGCGTACACAATACTACAGAGAAACATCACTCAGAATCAGCAGCAGAATATACGGTCTTACCGGGGATACGGCAACTCTGCAGAGCTCGCGTACAACCACATGGAGAACCTGTATCAAGCAGCAGACAGCGTCAATCAAAGTCAGTTAATGGCGCAACTCACAACAGTCGAAATGAAATCGGGCGAAAAGGGGATGGCGTATATCAGCCGATGTCGCGAATTGCGCGACAAACTCCTTCGATGCAGAGGGTCGATTTCAGAAGACGTCTTCGTCACAGTCATCATCGGCGGCCTCGGTCCTCAGTGGCGCTCTACTCGCGCCATACTCCGAGCTCACGGAAAAATATCAGAAGCAACACTCTGCGCCGAGATCCACGCTGAGCAGCAAGATATGGACCTGCAAGAAGAACGACACAAGAGGAAGGTATCAGTTCCCGAATTCCCATTCCACACTCAACGGCACTACTACAACAACAACCGGCATCAACTAAAACCAGTACCTCCGTTCTGTCACCTTTATTAGACGTCAAGTCACCCCCGTACACACTGCCCAAACCGGCAGTAGTCAACGCCAACGCAGCAGCCGCTTTGCCCTTCAAGCAGTCAAGTCGCCTCAACGCAAGCGAATCCGACCTACTCAAGTACAAGCTTCAACAACATCGACGGGACAATCTGCGCAAGGAACAAGAAACATCGTCAGCTGCATGGCATGACTGACCGACTTCTGCATCACAGAGTCACCACCGCATTACTCACCGGAAGAGCAACTCGACAACAGCACGCCTCGCCGCGAGTCACTTCAACCAAACCCGACGTATGCAGCCATCGCTCAAAGCGAGCTATCCGGAAAGGATACCTGGTTCTTGGACAGTTGCTGCGGACAACACATGTGCTCTTCAGGTCGCTTCGTTCAACACGAACACCAACTTCAACGAGAAGTCGTCATCACCGTCGCCAACAACCGGAACCTGCGCACACGACGACAAGGTGTGGTGCAACTTCGTCCTCGACTTTGTTCCAGACCTTGGCACCGCTGACAACGACGGGATCGTTACCTTCACCTCCTGGACACATCCACCGGATCTCGATCCCAACTTCAGTCCCGAAGGATTTTGGTACTCGCACACCATTCCTGAGGCACAACGAACAAGAGCATTAGCAACGATTCAACATTCGGGAGCAGCAGAGACAACATCGGCAGCAGCAGAGACAACATCGGCAGTAGCAGAGACAACATCGGCAGCAGCAGCGACAGCATCGGCAGCAGCAGAGACAACATCGGCAGCAGTAGAGACAGCATCGGCACCAATCGCGGGTCCTTCAACTTCACCGGTTACAATCGACGACAACACTCCACCGACTCCTGCGCAGCAACTGAACCCAACACCACGAGAAGTACATCGAAGCGCAAACTTCAGTGCAAGCTTCTACTCCAACTCCGACCTGTACCGTCGCTCACCCGGACATCGAGCCGGCGAAGACATCTGGCACGCACGAATGGGACATCCAAGCAACACAGTGTTGAATAACACAATTAGTGCAGGCGTGCTCGACAAGGACTCACTGCTCCTGACCGACAGAAGCAAACTTCGACGAGCTTGTGGAACGTGCTTTACCTGCCCCAAAGCTGACTTACCACATCGGCCGTTCGCTTCTCACCACAAACCCAGCGCACCAGCTTATGCACCACTTGAGAAAGTGTATAGCGACATCCTGTACAACCGCGAACCTAGACAAGGAGCATACAGTTACACCATCACGTTCATCGATGCCGCCATGTGTTACGTTTGGCACCTCAACCTACCGAGCAAGGACATGGCCTTCGAGGCTTTCGTGGCTTGGCTCCCGGTAGCAGAACGAGAATCAGGCGTGAAACTAAAAAGCTTCTAGTCAGACGGAGGAGGAGAATACACCTCACAGAGGTTCAAGCAGTACCTGGCAGAAAGAGGGATCAAGAGGCTCATCTCTCTTCCCTACGCTCACCAGCAGCAAGGCGTAGCAGAAAGGATGAACAGAACTCTTCAAAACACCATGCGCAAGCTGCTACGTGGCATGCGGCTACCCAACCACCAGTGGCCTGAAGCAATGGACCACGCTGTCATGCTGCACAACTTGCTTCCGTCATCATCGCTCCCGAACAACGCATCACCGCACCTGCTGTGGACTGGAAAACTGGGCAGCACAAAAATGTTAAGAGTTTTCGGCTGCATGGTACAGTACCGACCCCCATCTGCACGAGCCGGCCGATTCTCCCAACGCGCACAGTGGGGACTACACCTGGGCATCAAAAGAAATTACAACGCATGGAAGATTTTCGACGTCCACTCCAAAGAAACAGTAGTAGCACGTGATGTCATCTTCTACGAACGACTCACCCTTCCGACGTACCTTGCCAGCCTGGAAGTAGATCGGGACCCCACAGGTGGCTTCCGTGGTGACCGAGTCTTTGCCTCGGCAGCAGACGAAGCTGACTGGGACGAGCAGAACGTGGATGCAGCCTCGGAGGAAGCTGGACCTCTCCCTTACTGCTCCATCGACGTCCCAATGGATGACAAAAATCCTCGCGACAGCACCAACGCCGAAGTATTTTACCACTTCGCTGACAACGGTTACGTTACACTTGCAGAAGTCAGCACAAACGAAGCAGAATGCATAGGGCCCAAGTTCATACCTGACCCAGAAGCAGGTGACGAAGCAGCTTATCCCGCGGACACAACACTCCCCCGCTACACA